GTAGTCATCAATCATCAAAGGAAGTATTCTGTCAGCATGCCACTTTCTTCTGAAGAAGTGGAGCTTCCACCACTGGATGCAAAAACAGATGGTATTCACATTTCCTCTTCTCAATCAGCAACTGCTACCTCTAACCATCCCCAGCAATCAAAATGTTACTCTCAACCAATGCCAAAAGGCCATGTGCTCCAAGAAGCAGCCAATGGAGCCAAGGTAAACAACAATCCTGGCATCAAAGCATTCAAGGACAAGAGGTTTGACTCTTTCAAAACATGGTCTGGAACACTTGAGAGACAATTATCAATTCTACGAGGAAAGTCACCCAAAGCAACTGCACAAGATGGTAACAACACCCCCAGGAACATTGAAAGGCCTTTACCTGTCGATCGGTATTTCGATGCCTTGGAAGGTCCAGAGTTAGAAACTCTCAGGGTATGTGATTACTTTCTTCCATCAATCTCATGTTGAATGGTATGAGATGTTCAATGAAGTACTTAATTGAGTGACTTTATTATCCTCCTAAACAATTTCTTACAAGGTTGCTTTTGCTTATTAGTTCTTGAAGATTATAACATATTTTGTTTTCCTACTTCAACAAACAGGCTTCAGAAGAGACAGTGCTACCTCAGGATAAGAAATGGCCATTTCTTCTTCGGTTTCCTATTTCATGCTTTGGTGTCTGCCTTGGAGTTAGCAGCCAAGCAATTCTTTGGAAAGCACTTGCCACATCTCCATCCACTCAATTTCTTCACATAAGCCTCAAAGTCAACTTAGTCTTATGGATCATATCCATTGTTCTTGTTACCATAATTTTCACCACCTATCTTCTCAAAATAATTCTCTACTTTGAAGCGGTTCGTCGTGAGTACTACCATCCAATCCGTGTTAACTTCTTCTTTGCACCATGGATAGCCCTCTTGTTCTTAGCTCTTGGGGTTCCCCCATCAGTGACCAAAAACTTGCACCATGCCCTTTGGTACATTCTAATGATACCAATATTCTGTCTTGAAATTAAGATCTATGGACAGTGGATGTCAGGGGGTCAAAGGAGGCTCTCAAAGGTGGCCAATCCTTCAAATCATTTATCAATTGTTGGAAACTTTGTAGGGGCTTTGCTAGGAGCATCTATGGGTCTTAAAGAAGGGCCTATTTTCTTTTTTGCTATTGGACTAGCTCACTACATTGTCCTGTTTGTAACTCTCTATCAGAGACTTCCAACAAATGAGACCCTCCCAAAAGAGCTGCATCCTGTGTTCTTTCTGTTTGTTGCAGCACCAAGTGTAGCTTCCATGGCATGGGCCAACATTCAGGGATCTTTTGACTATGGATCACGGATTGCCTATTTCATTGCCCTCTTCCTTTATTTCTCTCTGGTAAGCCTTTTTCCCTTTCAAAGTAAGCATTAATTATACTTACTCCCTTTCTTATTTTAATTATAAAAACTCTACATGCATAAACTAGTTTCTCATTTCTAAACAAGCAGGATTTAAGCATAATTTTCTCAAATTTCAAGAAAACTGAATGTAATTAGCCCTTTTGAAATAAGCACACTCAATGTTGGGTAGTTTTCATATGTATTCCTAAACAGGGCATTCTATAATTTTCATGTACAACACTTAAAGATTGTTTATATCAAAGTTACTTAGTACTAAGTAGTTTCATATGCTTTTGCAGGCTGTCAGGATCAATTTCTTCAGAGGATTCGTGTATGTTACATATCTTGTTGCTCTTATTTGTTTACTTAATAAAGTTACACTACTGAATTTTCATATAAACTCTTTTGGGTGTTATTATTCTGCAGATTTTCGCTTGCATGGTGGGCCTACACTTTTCCAATGACAGGTGCAGCAATTGCAACAATCAGATACTCAAACAAGGTCACAAATGGGGTTACAAAGACAATGTGTGTGGTACTGAGTCTCATCTCCACACTGATAGTAGTAGCACTGCTTGTATCAACTATATTGCATGCCTTTGTCTTCAAAAACCTCTTTCCCAATGACCTTGCCATTGCCATCAGTGACAGAAAGAGAAAGCCACAAAGGAAGTGGCTAGGTCTCAGATACAGAAGCCATGAGTCCAAAGAGATTGAAAATTACTTGAAGTTTGTGAACCCTGATACCATTGATTTAGAAGCTTCTACCACACTACCAAATGGCACAGAGGAGTCACCTTCTATCTGAGGATATTTGTTTTGTTACATAGTAATGTGTGTCTTTAAAAAAGAAAAAATATCATCTTACGAGTTTATTGCTTTATAATCTTCATTAGCCAAACATGTGAGGAACAGAAGTAGGAGTTTTGACTGTTCCAGTGACCATGTATAGCTGAATATGAAGATCTGTGTTAGGAAGAGCAGTTTACTGTAAAATCATTTCCCACCTTTAAGTGAGTTGTTTTACTGTATGAGTAGATAGTCAATATCATTAACCACAAAAGAAATTAATAGTGGTGTTTTTGTGTGATGTTTGGATGTCATTACGAAACAATTTTACATTCTAAATAAAAACATATATATTACGTACAAATTTTTTACATCCATTTAATTTTTTTTACTCTTTTTTTTGCAAAAAATATAAAACGTATAATTACTTTATTTTTATAATATGTATTAAATAAATCTAAATGTATCTCATCCTACTATTACTTCTTTTTATATTAACATTTTGAAATTTATTTGAATATTCTAAATGCATTTTCTTCGTATTTGATATGAACAAAATTAATTTTAATATAGTTGTTTAGATTTAAAAATAATGTTTTTTTCTCATTCATAATTTTTTTTTTCACTTTTTTATATAGATTTCATTACACGTATTTTCTTTATTACATTTATAAATCTCCTTACATTTATTTAGTTCACAGAGTCCATTTCCTTTATTCATATTTATTTTTTCATTCACACATATATTTCTTTCATTTACATTTTTTTCAAATTTTTTTCATCTACATTTTTTTCCTTAATTCTTCCTCACTTTCATTTTATTCATATTTTCTTCTTTTTTCTATTCATATCCTTAGTCTAAATTATTTATTTATTCTTTTATTTATATTACTTGAACATGTATTTTTTAAGTCACATAAATGACAAAATATTTGTGTCTATAAATATTTGTCGATAAAATTTATAATGATAGTTTGTATTTGTGGATATTTATTATCGTGGATAATATGTATTTTAATACATTGCATGTATCATATTATACCACAAATATCCATTACTTGTAAAATATTAAAATTAAAATTTAATTTATATTTTATTAATTTAAATTTAATTAAAATTTATTTTATATTTAAATTAATTTCTATTCTGTTTATATTTTTTAATTTTATTTTAAAAATTTACAAACTATTTTGTTAGATATTTGCGGATATATTTGAATATCTACATATTTTGAAAAATTCATAAATATTTTTTAAATGAATATATGATATAAATAATATATTTGATTTTTTTTACTGGTTGAACAGTAAGATAAACGCTATCTGTATTAATCTATTATAATTCCTTATATCATAATGTAGTCTAATTTAAATTGAATTAAATTAAAAAAAAATTTTTTTTTTTTTCTAAACCAATACTAATTTGTTTAGGTGGGGTTTGTGAGACCGAGACACTAACTTTCGATTTGTGTGTTTCGCTTGTACGTTTTCAGTTTAGATCGGTTGAATTGGTCTAAGGGTTGGTCGTTCTTTCTTACTCTGCTCTCTTTTGATCTTCAATCCTCTCCGAGAATGCAATCTACTTTAATGAGTTGTTGATCTGCAAAAGACACTCCGACGCTCAAGTCAGACATGTTTCATCAAGAGGTTTATATTTTATTAGAATAGAAAAGAAGCTCTTTACCTGGGTCTTAACCCTATATTTATAGGGCTTATGGCAATCGAGCTCATTAATTCATATTTGATATTGCAAAAAATCCAATAATACTTGCTAATATACCTGCTAATTGTCTATTAATATCATATTCTTGTGCAATATGACCTGTCAATCACTCATAAATAGTGTATATTCTCATTTAATATGGTAATTAAACGTATTAATTGGCCACCAATGATATTTACCTTTCCTGATTAGTTTGTCTGACAGCCAATCGGTTTCCATGTATAGTACATTAAGCCCCCAAGCCCCGAGCAGTTGTTTGCAGGTGCGAAGGGGTTTAAATTCGTTGGACGAATTTAAAGTGGCGGGAAAGAGTGATTACCCTTTTGAATCATCGGGCTGTGTGTTGTGGTTTGAGACCGAATGGCCGAATACTTGTGACCGCTCGGTTTAAGACTATGGACCCCTCGGAGAACGTTCCTTGGGTGTTGTGGACGAGAGTGAGAGTTCACGAACACTCTTCACCGCTCGGTTGAGAGGTATTTTCCTCTCGTTCTTTGACTTCAGCTTTGACGAGAGGGATTTACCTCTTGGCCAAGAGGGATTTATCTTTTGGTCTTTAATTTCAACGAGAAGAGTTTACCTCTCGGTCGAGTGGGATTTACCGCTCGGTTTTTGTCTTCAATCTTGACGAGAGGGATTTACCTCACGGCCAAGAGGGATTTACCTCTTGGTCTTTAATTTCAACGAGAGGAGTTTACCTCTCGGGCGAGTGGGATTTACCGCTCGGTCTTTGTCTTCAATCTTGACAATAGGGATTTACCTCTCGGCCAAGAGGGATTTACCTCTTGGTCTTTAATTTCAACGAGAGGAGTTTACCTCTCGGCCGAGTGGAATTTACCGCTCGGTCTTTTTCTTCAATCTTGACGAGAGGGATTTACCTATCGACCAAGAGGGATTTACCTCTTGGTCTTTAATTTCAACGAGAGGAGTTTTCCTCTCAGCCGAGTGAGATTTACCGCTCGGTCTTTGTCTTCAAACTCTTCCTAAGAGACTTCTGATAAGTGCAAAAAAGTAGTTAATTTTCATATGGAATTTTAGCACTTATGTTTTGAATTGAGTACATTTGTATCAATTTTCGCCAATCTAAGAAAGATGAAATGTAATCACATGTTTCTGAGTTGTTGAGTAAAAGGAAATCATTTGATCCCTAGTTTGTATACATTTCAGGTAAACTAAGAGAGAAGAGCAAATCCTGCAACATTTCGCCCAAGCTAAAATGATTTCGCTGAAGCTAGACTTGTCCAGGAAGCCATTACCCTAAAAGTCATTCTCGCTTAAGCGAGAATATTTTAGCTTAAGCGAGAATGATTATCTTCTCCAAGAAGTTTCTTCTCGCTTAAGCGAGAATAATTTAGCTTAAGCGAGAATTCAGGCAGTTTATATACTTACGAAGCAAAAAGAAAGAAAAAGACGGAGAGAACGGAGAAAGAAGTTACCCAAAGAGTTTTTCTTCCACTTCAGCTGTAGGATATTCTTCTTCATCTCTTAGAATGTCAATCGCCACCATGAGTGGCTGATCTCTTCTCTTGGGATTGAATGTAATCGATTCGAACTCGGATGTAATCTGGTGATATTTATATATAGCATTTCTGTTTTTATTCAACATTGGTATTTTTGTTCTGCTCTTAATGCTTGACTCTACCTGATCAATAGTTTCATGAATGTGGATTTTAGACTTGACTGGAAAGTATTTCTAAAACTCTGATTTGAGCAAGAATACTTGATATTCTGTGATGCTAGGGATAGATTTCAGTTTATCAATTGCTTATAACACTTGAATATAATGCTGGACAGTTTGTTGGATATGTGAGGAATCAATATTCAAGGAACTGTTCTTATGAATTTTATATGCGAGGAATCGATATAAATGACTTTTGTGTGTTGCATCAATATTGGTAATTTCAGTTGCTATATGTTTGTATTCATCCAGATTGCAGATGAGTGAGATAGATGAATTCAATCCCAACTTCTCATATTAACCTTTGTTAAGTTATTTGTTGTTATTATTTTACTTTCACGCAACATAGTTTTATTTATCAACATCCATCATGAATCAAATTGAACATTCTTGTATATATACTGTTTGAGATAACAATTTATCTATTTAATCGAAACTATTCCTCGTGGGTTCGACACTCTTACTTAAAAAATCATTATACTACAGTTTACTATTGGTACGCTTGCCAAAAGTTTAACAACTTCGTCGTTGAATATGAACTTTAACAAAGTTAGCAACCAGTGACCGAACATGAATTGCTAGGCTTAATTTATTCCATAATGAAAGCATAAGACCAGAACAAGAATCTAATTCAAATGAAATTGAATTTAAACATGACATTAATAAAGTTTTGGATGCTTCTCCTCAGTTTATAAATCCACGGACCGATTGTTCACGAGGATGGCTTGGACTACGGCTATAGCTCCGCCTCCAATCATCCTCACGATACGTTTGCTCGGGACTTCTTCGCAAATATCCTTCCCTGGGAGGCTTCTTGTTTCATTTATATACGTACGGAGGTGCCCCGCCCGAACGAGACTCTCTATTTCATTTTTTAGTGTGATGCATTCTTCTGTAGTATGTGCATGATTCTGATGGTACCGACAATTGTTCCTTTTATCTGCGTTTTTTGGTGATGGTTTCCTTCGAGGTGTGAGAAGTTTCGCGTTTAGGGCTTCTTCGAGAACTTTTGCCCTAGATGCATTGAGGGTTGTATAATGGTGAAACTTGAACGTCTAGGGAAGCTCCCCACTTTTATCATTACTGTCGAACGGTCGCTTGCCGTCCCTTCTACCCCCGCCTACATCTGCCTCTTGTTGCCGCTTCCTTTGTGACAATCACATTTCCTCCATTGGGATGAACTCAGCTGCTCTCTCTTGGAGCTCTTCCATAGTTTTTAGTGGTCGTGCATACAATTTTTCAGCAAAGTATCATGGCCTTAAGCATGAAGGCAAATTGTTAATGATAAAAGAGTGATTGACCTCTTTAACTCGTCGGGCAGTTTCGATATACCTTTTCATAAAGGCCTTCAAAGTTTCCCCTTTTTCTTATTTAGTATTTACCAATTTTGCTGGTGTTATCTCCTGTTTCCGATTAGAGGCGTATTTCCTTCTAAAGAGGGTTTCCATAGTGGCGAAGCAATCCACTGTGTTGGGAGGAAGAGTGTTGTACCATTCCAATGCCTTTTCCTTGAGTATAATGAGAATGCTCTGCACATGATCGGGTCACTGTTTGTATAGAATGTTATTGCATTACCGAACGTCCTTAGGTGATCGTCCGGATCAGCTGAACCATCATACTTATCCAATGCGGGTGGAGTTTTTTCTAGCATTGGAGTTTGCATGATGGTCGCCGTAAAGGGAAGTAATGATAAACTGGTAGGCCGAACGGTCTGCAGGGGTGTTGGTTCCCTTCTACCTCGACCGTTCGGGTTGGTGTGATTATGGCTTGCTTCGTCGTCATTCTCTCGATTTGAGGCAGACCGCGGGAGGAACATGTTCGGCCCTTAGCGCCGCCATCTCCTCTGCATGCCTCTGCTCCATCTCTTGCTGTGCATGCACCTGCGCTTTATGGTCTACGCCTGTGCCTCA